TATATATATATATATATATATATATATATATATATATATATATATATATATATATATATATATATATATATATATATATTAAATACATTATTATAAATGTATATTTCTTATTTTCTAAGTAAATATTATTTTAAAAATATATATATATATTTTATCATCACCTTAAAGTCTTCAATTTCGCCTCCTTCTAAACTCACAAAGATTTTGTGTAAACCAATTTCGTAACTAGATTCTTAACAATAGAGGTATATTTTATTTTATATAAATTAATCTCTCAACCTAGAAAGTATCTTTGAATGTTGAAACCAGCTAAAATCTTATACATTGGGTCCACACTAGTTGTCGACATAATTTTTACATAGCGGCAAGTTCGTTTAATCTTTTTCACTATAAACAAATATATATTAGTACTTGTTAGCATGTTATTTACTACAGGATATGAGATTTTAATATTTTCAATGTTCATAGTGTTTCACCTTAACTACTTGAAAAATAATTGTTTGTCTTTTAAGATCTTCTTAAGCTCTTTTAAATTATATATATATATATATATATATATATATATATATATATATATATATATATATATATATATATATATATATATATATATATATATATATATATATATATATATATATATATATATATATATATATATATATATATATATATATATATATATATATATATATATATATATATATATATATATATATATATATATATATATATATATATATATATATATATATATATATATATATATATATATATATATATATATATATATATATATATATATATATTCAATGCTATTTTAAATTATTTTGTCTCTAACTACTTTTTCTTTTTATAAAAAAAAACTTTCATTAGATGGGAATATCAAGGGTACTCCAACTCAAATACAAAAGAAAATTGTTTAAAAAAAGTCACACGGGAATTTAAACCACACATAATAGTTATACCTAATTTTACCTTTAGAAACTAGTGTTAACCCCCACCAAGAACAAGATATTGTTCTATAAAGAATAACCTACGAATCGCCAACCTCATCTTTAAAAATTATTTGATTTCTTGAGTACCAAATGCTCCAACAGGTAGAGAACCAAATAAGATACGCAGTTTGGATAGAACATTTGCTTCTTAGCCGAACAAACCAAGCCAACAAAAATTCGCAACAGTTCTCCTCAATCAACAAAGGAATTCCAAGCCACTCCAAGACCTTTTTCCACACCATTATACTCTTATGGCAGCCACATAAAATATGATTGGCATCCTCCTCAACAAGAAAACAAAACACACACACACAACAATATCATGCGAATTTTGAATGATACCTCTAGCTTCAGGATTTTTCCTTGTTGGTAATCTATCTATCAACACCCTTAAACCCAAGAATTTAACTTTCAAAGGCATATTTGTTTTCCACGCCAAACTAACTACAACTTTAAGCTCACTTCGTAATTCCGATCCGACTGATTGACTTTGCATTATGTCGTAGAAAGAAGCTACAGAAAAACCTTATTTGCATTCCATGGCCATATTATGGAATCCTCCACCCCAACCAAAGGGACTAATTCATTAAGCAATGCAGATAACTCAGAGCATACCTCAATAGATAAAACAACTTTATCAAATTCCAAAGGCTCCAAACCCCACACCCATTATTCGCCTACCCAAGTCCCGACCTCCCTAATTACAATAAATTTCCAAGTAGAAGCAGCATACAGTTGGGGAAATAACACCCTAAATGGGTCTGGACCTCACCATTGCCCAATTTAACGGAAATTGAGTCATTAAAAGAACCATTCTCCCTGCCATCCCCTAGAAGCATTAAATATCTCCACCACAAAGATTCCATAGCTTTACTTCCCCGGGCTATGTTATTTAGAATCCTTCTTGTTATGTCCCAAAATATGTGATGAAGAATCCCAATCGAAATCGCCTACTTATCCCTCAACAGCCTCCATAGACACTTTGCTAAGAGCGATTTGATAAATACACAAATGTCTCTAATACCAAGCCCCCAACGTTTTCGGGCTGTACACGGTATCCCAACTTACCCATGACACACAATTCTTGTCCACCGTTCTCGCCCACAAGAATTTACTTTGAATCAAAATAATTTCTTTCAGAACTATAACAAGAGCTTGAAATAAAGAAAGGTAATGAATTGAGAGGTTCATGAGTACCATGTTAATAAGTGTTACCCTCCCACTAATCGAAAGCATCTTGCCTCTCTAAGTAGATAACATAACCTTGAATGAATTGATGACAGGGCTCCAAAAGGAACTCCTCCTATGATTCCGTCCCACTGTAATGCCCAAAAGTTTAACGGTACTGCTCCTATTTTACATGCCAAGAATTGTGAAGAAGCTTTTAAGAATGCCTCATCAATGCCAACACCAAAATACAACTCTTCCAAGCATTAATCTTCAACCCTGAAACCATTTCGAAGCCTCTTAGAATTACTTTTAATCCCCAAAGATTAGGCCACACAGCATCACAAATCAACATTGTATCGTCAGCGAATTAGAGGAGATTATAGCTTACCATTTCATTCAAACTCAAGACTCTCAAGATGCCCATACTTCCAGCCTTTCTAACTAATGAAGCCAAACCTTCTACCACCAACAAAAAAAAGAAAGAAAGGGGGACAAGGGATCGCCTTGTCAAAGTCCCCTCGTTGCTTTAAAATCTCTTGTGGTACTTCTATTGATCAAGATGGACAAATGACTAGTAGAACACCCCAATCCAATCCGTCCATTTTTCCCCAAACCCCATATCTCTCGCAATCCTCGTAAGAAAATCCCAGTCGACATAGTCGTACGCCTGTTCGAAGTCAATTTTGAACAACAAACAACTTCTTCTCTGTCTTTTAACCATATCAATCAACTCATTTAATACCAGTATCCCATCATAAATGATTCTTCCAAGAATGAAGGAATATGGTGAATTGGATACTAGCTTGCCTATGACTTTCCTCAACCGCTCAGCCAACATTTAAGAAATAAGCTTGTACACAACCAATAAGGCATATAGGCTGGTATTCCCCTAATCCTTGAGGATTATCAACCTTAAGAATTAGATCAATAAACGACAAAGTCATTTCTTTGGGTAGATATGCAGATAAATGAAACTCTTTGATGCAATTGATCATGTCTTCTCCAACAATATCCCAACAATTCTTCAAAAAATTGAGGTTGAATCCATCAGAACTTGGACTTTTGTTACTGTCGCAATCAACCAAAGCCTTGTGAATTTCTTCAGTAGTAAAGTAGGTTTCAAGACTTTCCATTTCTTTCTTACTCAACTTGGCAAGATCACGCGTCTTCAAGAAAGGTCTAAAAATATCCATCTTTTTATATCTAATCATAAAGAAGTCTTTAATTGCTTCTTTGATCTGAGCCACCTCTTCCAATACTAATGAACCCGATTTTACCCTGATAATGGCATTACTCCTGTATCTACAATTCAACAACGTATGGAAATACCTTGTGTTTAAGTCCCTTTCCATCACCCAATTCAATCTAGCCTTTTGTTTGTAATACTTTCTTGCAAATGCAACTTCATCCATACCTCCCCTTGTAATGACTTCTTTCTAAAACGAGATCCCACAGAGAATTTCCACTCAAAAGATCCAAATCTCCCTCCAACTTGTTCAGATTATCCACTCTTTCATCAATTTTCAACTCCACCTACCCAAAGACTTCCTTGTTCCACCATCTTAGTTTCGCCCTCAAAACTTTGATTTTTTTCCTTCAAGATGTGCACTGCACTACCCCTTATCGTAATAGCGTTCCATTATGTTTTCACGAACTCAGCAAAATTTGGATGTTCATATCAACAGTTAAAAGCCTTGAAGGGTTTTGGATCACAATTTCGATCGTTAGCTTTGAACCACACAGGCCTGTGATCCGAAACATCTTTGTCCCCAACAGTTTGAGCTACCAATTTCCATTTGAAGACTAAACCTTATGAAATTAAGAACCTGTCAATCCTGCTCCTACAACTTCCATTGACTCTAAACGACGTGAACCTATTCCCTACGATTGACAAATCAATTAAATCCATAGATTATATAAACATCGTAAACTCGTCCAATTATAACCAACAAATCTCACCAAGACCCCTCCTTTCTTCTACTGTTTTTATTGCATTATAATCCCCTCCCACACTCCATTCCCCTTTAAGAACCCTTATCTTTCACTTAATTAATTCTAACAAAAATTGACATTTACCAACCATATCACAAGGTGAATAAACATTTACAAAATGACAATTCAAATCCGTTATGGTCTCTAACTACTTAACCTTACCACTAAAAAAACAACTTTTTAAGGAAATTCAAATTTTCTAAAACTGACTTACAAAATAAAAATTATTTTTATTTACATCAAATTATGCATGTCTTCGGTGCTACATCTCAAGCTCATCAGTCAACTGAAATCTTCTCAAGCTCATCGGTCAACTTAAATTTAATGAATTTTCTGCTTACAATAAGAAACAGTGTTTCTTACACCATTAATTGGGTACTTAGTAGTTAGTACTACTACTTATCTACTATTTATAGAGAGAGAAACTGAAAACGATATCTTTAGAGAGAGAAACAAGTGAGCAGTAAGTGGTCCAGCTGAGTCCATATCGCTGACCGACTCCAAGAGCAGCCGCGTTAGATAACTAGAGAAAGAAACATAACAAGTTAAGAAATAATATTTCTTTTATATTTATTCTCTTCTCTCTTCATTCAACTCTCATTCCAAACCCTACTTCAATTTCTTATGAGATACATATATGTTTTTTTTTTCTCTTTCAGCTCTCAACTTAATGAGAACAAGCATCATCAAGTAGCTAAATAAGTGCTTTTAGTAGCACACAACTTTTTTGTTTTTATATTTTGTTTTGGAAGTACTTTTCGAACTTTAAACTAGTTTTAGTTTTGGAATTTGCTCTAGGTTTAACTAGTTTAGGACACACAAATTTTCTTAAATTCTAAAATGATGTCCAAACAACCCTTTTCAGTTTCACCTCATTCCAACACCATGAGAGCTTCCTCATCAAGCCATCTTCAAAACCCTAATCCAAACTCAAACTCAAACTCAAATCCACCTAAGAAAAAAAGAAACCTACCTGGAACACCAGATCCAGATTCAGAAGTGGTAGCCATGTCACCGAAATCATTGATGGCGACGAACCGTTTCTTATGTGAAATCTGCAACAAGGGATTCCAACGGGACCAGAATTTACAGCTTCATCGACGCGGACACAATCTTCCGTGGAAGCTGAAGCAAAGAGGTAACAAAGATCAAATTCGGAAGAAGGTTTATGTGTGTCCTGAGAAGAGCTGTGTGCACCATGAACCTTCTAGAGCTTTAGGAGATTTGACAGGAATTAAGAAACATTACAGTAGAAAACATGGTGAGAAGAAATGGAAGTGTGAAAAGTGTAACAAGAAATATGCAGTTCAATCTGATTGGAAAGCTCATAGCAAAATTTGTGGAACTAGAGAATACAAATGTGATTGCGGCACAATTTTCTCCAGGTATATATATTTCCTATACAATATACATCTTTCACTTTCAATATTGCAGTAACCGTACAACTATTGGATTTGAGATAGAATAACTAAGATCCAATAGTTTCACGATTTCTGCAGTCATCTCTATATCTGATATCTGATGTCTCTGCACAGCTATCAACTGAACTAGTTTAATCGGACAAATTATGATGATTTTAATGGAAGGAATATTTGTGTGGAATAAGTAATAAATGAGTAGTGTTCTTAATGATGTTCAACTATAATTCATTCATATATTTATTATTTGTGTTGACTATTGCTAACAAATTAGGAGGGACAGCTTCATAACACATAGAGCTTTTTGTGAAGCATTGACTGAACAAACTGCAAAGATATCATTACCAACAGTTCCAAGAAATTTTCATAATGATCATTTCCCAAATTCTCAAACTCCAAGGATCCCTCAAATTTTTCCTGGCTTTCAGTTTCACTCGGAGTTTGTTGGTTCGGGAACATCGTCGCCACTATGGCCAGCACTAGAGCAAACAAATTATCAACAACTTCTTCCTAGTACTACTGATGTGATGCAACAAACAATGGATGTGTTTGGATCACAAACACAGTGGTTGAATCATAATAGTAATAATCTATCTTTGCCAATGCTACATGGAGTAATGAAACAAGAGGAAGAAGAAAACAAAGATTTGTCTCATAGTGTAATAAGCTCATTGTACTTGAGTAGTAGTCAGAATCAACAAGGAGGATCATCAAATCACATGTCAGCAGCAACAGCAACGTCACTGTTGGAGACAGAATCTCAAATGGGATCTACAAGGACAGTTATTACTAATGATAACAACAACAACACCCTCTTCAACAACAACAATGTGAACCACTTTAGCATTGTTGACAAATTCTACAAGCAAGGTCATCATGAAAATGAAGAGTTGAATGAGTTGGTGAATTTGGAAGGAACTAGCAGAACCAATTTTGGAGGTGAGTATTTATTAAATGACTCGTTTGGGACAGTGAATGGTACCAAGAATTTAGACCATGTGGTGATGTTGGTGGATAGAGAGACAAGAGCAACAAATCGATATTCACATGATTCGAGTTTAATGTCAAAGGACAAAAACCAAATGGGCTTTACAAGAGATTTTCTCGGGGTTGGAGATGATGATGAGTCAATGAGTAGATCAACTTTTTTGCAGCAAGAACTTGATGGATTTCATGGAATGGGATCATTAGGGAATAATCTGCAGAGCCATTATCGCGGTGGTGGAGACTATTGCTAGAGTTTGAAATTTGAATGAAAGTATAGCTCAAAGAGCTAAGAAACTGTTGAGTAAATATCTTAATCTTAAGTAGTTTTGTACTCTTAATAATCGCAATACGTTAACTTAATGAGATATTAGGGTGTATTATTATAGTTCTAAATTGCGGTTTTGATCGTTGTTGTGTGGCTGCAATTATTGTTGCAATAATTGAGAGATTTCTAAATTTTTATATTGCATTATGATCGTGACTTAAAACTATAGTCCATAAGTAGTATTACCAAATTAACTTGAGAACTAAAGTTTTGAAATCACTTGAATTTATAGAGTTTAAATTCTCATTTAAGCTATCAAGCACAAGTTTTTGAATAAGGTTGTGGTCGTGTTGTGACGTGTAAAGACTTTTGCTATTTTAATTGATATAGATGTTGTGATATTGATTTTGATTATCATATCGTAGTATTAATTATACTCTTTATCATATAACGGCACCTTCTAATCCCATTAAATCAGGTCGTTTTCAAAATAACCAAACTTTTTTTTTTATAAATTTGATAAGCATATAATACTCAAAGACCAACACTACAATACATTCCACACAAGACTTTGATATAGATGATGTTAAAAATGTAGGACTCAAATCTATAATAGTATTTGAGATTCATCTAAAAAAAAATATCAAGTGTTTTGAAGTAAATAAAAAAATAACCTTTTTAAAAGATTCATATGCATGTAGTATGAATGTTTTACAAATGTTAGACATCGATTCAAAAATTATCGTAGCGAAAAAATATTGTTTTGAGATATTAGTGTCATATAAATATTAGATTTTAATGCGTTTGTATATGATACATCTATTTTTAGAAATGTGTGTGCTTCACAAATTTAATTTTAGTTTATAATTTCTTAGTAAACTAATGAGATATATAAAATATGATTGTGATTATATATTTTAATTTAAAATACGAGTACTACTTGCCAATTAAATTGACAACTAAAATTTTGATTTGACTTGAATTTAGATAGAGTTACAAACCACTGAATTTATGATTATAATTTTTTATTAAGTTAATGAAATTGTTGAATAACTACTATTTTTGTATTTATTCTGAATAAAAATATACGAATCATATAACTCTCCTGTATATGTATATTTATGTATATTTATATATTAACAACTATGTGGTAGCTAGCTAAGTTTAAATTAAAAATGTGAAGTACAAAATAAATTTCACTGATAAAAAATAAAAATAAAAACACAGTGGCTGAGATTGGTAGTTAGAGTATCCAAAGAGGTGTTAGAAAAGTGATATAGTGATGCACAGTAAACATATGGTAATTTCACGTGTAATAGAAACGATAAAGAGATCTCGTGAAGAACATTGGGACCATTGCATGTTAGAAGGGACAAAAATGATATATAGATGAGAAATGATTCCAAAAGACACACACAGGGTGATTCTCTCACTTATGGAAGGTCCCTACCCTACACTTAGTACTAAATATATGTAGTCTTTTTTTCCATGCATGTCTTGTTTCGTAGAGGTGTAGAACCATTAGCTGGCTTTTTTCTATAATAACTCTGATGGAGCCTTTCAACTTCGTACATACTATTTCATTACCTACCTGGTGCTGCTGCTCTCTCACCTATCATCTTTCTTCATACTGTTGAGACCGTGAAATGATTTCCACTCTGAAAACAAATTATATGTTGCTATATACAGACAGATATGCTTTTGGTGTACTTTTTCTATATGTTATACTTTTTATTTAAAGGATATATGCAGTTATGCACTATGAGTAAAACAATTTTACACTATTTAATGAAAATTCAGTGTTGTAGTTTTTATTTTATTTAAACTAAATCTATATAAACAAATTTAAGTTGGACGTTGTTAACGGTTGAAATTGCTACAAATTTTTAGGATACTCTTAGAACTATACAATGTAATCAATCATGAAATATTTAGAAATAACTAAAATAATTTAAAAACATTTACTATTATTGAGAGGTTGATGATTTGATTCTATAAATAAAAAATTGATACTTTGTAAATAATCTTGTAAAAGAATCTATGTTGTTTTCTACATTAAGACTTTAAACTATAGTCACTTTTCTAATATAATCATTTTCTATAAAACAATTTTCTAAGACTATATTATATAAATTATTCAAATACCAACCGTAGTACAAGACTTATGTTCGGTTATATATTGAATGTAGTTATATTATCTATTTACTGTTTGAAAATCTTTTCAACAACTTTTAAAAATTTCCCTTTTACTATTAACATGATGTTATTTTTTTTTTTAAATTATGGATAACACTGCTCAATCATTATTTACTTATGTCCCTATTTTCAAATTTAATGGTGAAAATTATGATTTCCTACGTATTAAAATAGAGATGTTTATTTTTATCTCAAGAATCATGAGACATAGTAAAAGAAGGCTTTACCACTCCCGCACATACTTCAACTCTCAATGCAACTAAAGAAAAAGAGTTGAAGAAAAATAAATAGAAAATTCAAATGCGTTATTCACTTTAACAAGTAGTGAATGATGCAGTATTTTTTCAAAAATTATAGGAGTTAAGGCTGTCAAAGAAGTGTTGAACACGTTGCAGCAGGAGTTTCAAGGAAGCGACAAGGTACATGTTGTTAAACTGCAATCGCTAAGAAGAGATTTTGAACTACTGAAGATGAAGGAGTTTGGGACAAAGATTACTATGTTAAAGTAAAGAAATAATTAATCAAATGAAAATTTTTAGAGAGGATATTTTGTAAGTAGTAACTGCGCCTAAGAGGGAGAGGGGGGGGGGGGGGGGGGGGGCGAATTAGGATCTTAAAAATTATTTGCAATCTTGTATGGTTCCTTGGTTCTTTTTCTGGTTATTAGTTAGTAACTGAAAGTAAAGGCAGGAAAGAAAAAGGACACAGGAAGATTTATAGTGGTTCCCCTCACACTCCGAGGGTACTCCACTCCCCTTTCGACTCGAAAGAAAATTTCACTATAGTTCAGAATAATTGCTAAGCCTAATCACACAAACTGTGATGCTTACTATCTAAACCTATATGTAATTCCAAGTGTTGAAGAACAATCCTCTTCAATACACTTCACTTGTTTCCAACAGTCCTGGATAATAAGGTAATACAAAAAATGTTCTTGAGAAATATTTGTTAGAAAGTTGTTTATCAATCTTCAAGACCGATCTTCTTCTTGAAACAAATGATACTCAGATAATTATACAAGTGTTCTTTTGAAAGAAAACTGTGAGAGTGTGAAGGTTAATTCTATGGCTTCTTTCAAAAATTGGTTTTTGAACACTTAGAATAAAAATTCAGATTTTTAGAAAGTGAGTAATTGTTGTAATTTTGTTTCTAGAAGGTTAATTGTAATTTTGAAATTGAAAACAATTTATACTGATGAAAAACCTTTCCAAAAATGTTTGATTTTGTAACAGAAAAAATAGCCAGTAAAAAGAATGGTAAACAATGCAATTTTCCATGAACAACTGCCATTTTTGCTTGCTGTTACAGTGTAAATCGGTTAACCAAAAGGGTTAATCGGTTAACACCTTTACAACGTTTAAAAATATTTAAAATTTATATGTGTTAATCGGTTAACACATAATTTTGAAGTATGTTAATTGGTTAACCAAAGTGTTAATCGATTAACACTGATGGTTTTTCAGAAAATGATTTAATTCAAAAAGAAATGAGTATTTAAAAATAGTTTTAAAGTGTTAGTGATAATTGTGAAGTGAAAAATGATTTTTGAGAACACTTGTATAAATATTCTTAAGTAAAATATGTTATACCGTTCCTTTGAATCATCATCATCACTTGTAGCTTATAGACGAAGCTTTGATCCATAAAGTCATACGCAATGGTACCTCCTTGATCTTTGATGTTCTTGATTGATTGCTTGCGTCTCTTACTTTTTGTGAAGAATTCAGAAGAAGGGTGTTTCTGGTTTCATCTTCAATATATACCCCTACAGGTGTGCTTTTGGTTTTATCTTCAATATATACCCCTACGAGTGTATAGTATAAGTATCTTGTGTACCAAGCTTGTACTAGTTGTCTTCATCAAAACATAAAGTCCTTGAAGCTTGCTTTTACATATTCTTAACAAGAAAATTGGTGAGAAAATTCTAATTATTATCCCCTAAAGTTTGACTCAATCGTGACAACGATTAAGGAAACCAAAGATTTTTCCACTATCAATGACACAATTAATTATGGGCTCTCTTGAAGAATATAGGCAAAGACTGTATATGCATAAAGAAGATACACTTGAAAATGTCTTAGTCAAAGCTCAAATTTCAGCCGCAAAATAAAGAAAATGAAGGAAAGAAAAACTATGGAGAAACTTCTAGAAGAAGAAAAATTATGGAGATACACTAGAAATTTTCTCAAGAACAAACCAGATAAAAATCTTCCATGCAATATCTGTAAAAGACTAAGCCACACAGAGATATATTGTTAGTACCATCATATGCCACAATACAACCATTGCAAGAAGTTCGAGCACGTAGAGGAAAATTTTCGCATCAAAAATAGGCATAAAACTAATATCACAGAGGAGCATGATAAAAACAATGTACATTTTATGCGTCTCAAGACTCAATTAGAGAAAAAGGAGGAAGATGGTACTTGGATCATGGTTGCAAAAATCATATGCCAATGATGAGCCTATTTTCAAAAGCATCAACGAGTCTCTCAAAGTCAAAGTTCAACTGCAAAATTGCGGCGTGGTAAAATTAAAAGGCACAAACACTATCATGGTGGAGGAAAATATAGGTATGCGACTCATTCACGATGTCTTACTAGCTCTTAGCCTAAAAGAAAAGCTCTTAAGGATTGGCCAAATGATGGAGAGAGGCTACACAATTCACTTAGAAGAAGGTGTATGCAAAAACTTCGACAACAAAAATAAAAAGGCCGAGATAGCCCAAGTGAAGATGGAGAAGAGAAATAGAAGTTTCATACTAAATTTTAAATATGAAACTAACATTTC